AATGTTACGATCTCCAGCTCATTCATCCCTGAACAACTTGAATTGTGTGAAATTCTGGATGCTTGGTTAGGATTGCCTCTTAAAAAATGGTCTCCTCTCTGGAAGGTTCATCTAGGTTGTTTATGTGAAAGGATATATCAGATAAAGCTAACACTTTTCAGGCAACAGATACTGAAGAAATATGCTGACACATGCACACCCGAACCTGCTCAGCCGTGCGGGTCTGGAGCGCTTATCCTACCTTAATTCAGGCTTATAGTACATCTTTTCCCGAATTCACTTATATTGTTGCTCAAGCCCTGAAGATGTGGAAGTCTAATTCCCCAGAAATGTGTTGGCTGTATCTGCTATATCTATTTAGATAACCAACCCAGATGAACCTTCAAGTGATATGACAATTTTTTTAAGTGGTGCTCCTAACCATACTTCCAGTCTTTGGTCTTCTGTCGACCCATCAAAACCAGATAGGCAGCAGCCTTGGAACACAACCAGGTCCTTACACTCCAGACATGCACTGCCGTTATGGGCACGCCCCCTTCGGAAACGCGTCATCAAAAGGAGTCCTGTGTTGATACACAGGCATCTGTGCAGCTGATATTCGGATATCGTTCTGGCTCATCTCATATGATTTTACTGATTCTCCTTTGTGAGTATGTTTTTACCTTGTACTTTAGCTCACATTATTAAAAACCATCTACACTAGGGTGGGCGCCCTTCTCTTTCCTTTTCTCCCATAGTATTGCAGCTTCCCAGGCTGAAGTGGGGCAGCACCCCTAGTTATCCTCGCTTGCACTTCATTTTCATCTGTTGGTCATTATTGGCGCTTTGGATTTTTTTCTCACTGATTACTTCCCTCAAGGAGTACAACCTCCCTATTTTTTCAGATGCATATCAAATACGATTCCTACTGGTCCAGCGCTACCACGTATATATAATACAAAATGATTTATGAATGAGCAAGCCAACTACTATGATCAATGTACTATCACAGGAATTGTAAATCCCAGTGCTGGAACAAGAGCGTTGTGGGGAGGAGCCAGCGTCAATGAAGAGATGATTTTTACAGTAAGTAGCACCCACCATCCGAGCATATCATTCTTGTCTTTGGAGTAACTTGTATGACTAGTGCTGCTGCCAACATTTTTTTTTTTTTTCCTGGAGTTCAGCTTTAAGGTTTATATGTCAAACTGGAGTGTACCTTTTAAGAAGAACTCTAGGAATTAAATATAACCAAAACATACCCTTGCAGTGGGGATACCCCCCACCTGATCCTCAGTCACATGGCGGTCAGCGCTAACTCTCTACCCCTCCGCTCCAGTTGTGGAATGTTCCTCGGCATCTTCATGTCTAATGCAAGTCAATGGACCTACATTAGACAAGATGACGTCAGCAGTCCTAAGCCCGCCAGAGAAGAACTGCAGGAACTAGTCTAGCAAGGGTAAGTTGTTGTTTTTTAAATTCCTGGAGCTCTTCTTTAAATGTGTGGTTAGGTTCTTTAAAATATTCCCCTTAGTTCATTTTTTTTTTAAATTACAACTGATTAAATGCACTGGTAATACTGCTAGTATTACTGAATGAAATCTGCATTTTTGTTATCTTCCCACAACCACACAGCAGATATCAGACTGTGAATGTGAGGCATTCAATGTAATCCAGCCAGGCTCTATAGCAGTGTTGTCAGTTTTGCATGTTGTCAGCCTGTGGAATCACCTTACTAGAGGAAGAGATTACAGGGTCGGCAATGTGATGGTTCTTCAATGAGCAGGAAATTTAATTAAAAGAGAACTATGAGGTGAGTGAAAATCACTCAGCCTCATAGTTCGAGCTGACGTGTGACAATGAAACTGTCCCACGTCGGCTCAATAGATCGGGAAGTGAGCGAACGCATACCGTCGCTTGCTTACTTCTCGATCATCTCCCTGCAGGGAGACGTGACTATCACTCACGGCTCCCTGCAGGGATCCCCCCCTCCGTCTGATCCTTCAGTAATGACTGGCAGAACGGACGGGGGAGGGGGCAGAATAAGATGATTTTTACAGTAAGTAGAACCCACCATCTGGCTCAGCCTCTAGATAGGCAGAGCCAGCTTTCACTCACGCAGCTGGGTGGATCTCGACAGTAATGTTGGGATCCGTCCCGGCTGCCCCCCCCTCAGGGGGGCGGGCTTGCGATGATCGCAGGTACGATCTGCCTGTCCGAGATAGGCAGATCGTACCTTTTTTTAATTACTTTACAACCCTCGCAAGACTAAGGTCTTGCGAGGGTTGTATAGTGTATGGGCATCTTTAGGCCTCAGTCACACAAGGCTCTATGCTCCGGCTGTGAATTTGTGCAGCAATAGTCTGTAGATTTTTTTTTTGTCAGGAATTGCAGGTGGTTCCAAGCTGCTGCTCAGCCGACAGTGAACGCAGCTGTCCGTCCGTGTTGGGATGTATATCGCACATGCAGCAATTACCTCTAGTTACAGACAGATGATCGTCCCTGGATCGAAGCAGCTGAGTGGCTGCAACTGTCCAGAGTCACATGTGATTCCTGCTGCAGGTCAGTGGCAGTTGTCCACTTGCTGTATTTCTATAGTATGAAACAAAGACTTTAAAGGTGCCCATACACTGCTCGATTCTCGTACGAGAATCGGGCGAAATCCCGCGATCGTACGAGAATCGAGCAGTGTGAACTAAGACGTGCGACCGTTTCTACTGTACGGTTGCACATCTTTTGTCGAGCCAACATGTTCGAAAACCCGCCGAGAATCGTACGATTCTCGGCGGGTTTCCAGCCTGCTCGCCCGATAGCTGCGGAACGGGCCGGTGTGCGCACGTGCACACTGCCAGTTCTGCATTGCCGTCATCGGAAGCCCGCCCCTCAGCAGGGCGGGCTTTCGATGATCGCAAGTACGATCTGCCCGTCCAAGGTGGGCAGATCGTACGGGCTTTCAAGAAGCATACGACCATCGCAAGACAAAAGTCTTGCGATGGTCGTAAGGTGTATGGGCACCTTAAGACTAAACATTTTTTTTTATGTTTTAAAAGGTTACCATATCCAAAATCCATAAACTGGTTAATGTAAAAGAGGTTTTAAAAACTAGGTGTAATAGTGGGATGACATCATTCCACAGAACAAATCAATGACATCATTCCACAGAAATCCCACCAACTGTCATTGTGTTGCCTTGTTTTGCCTCCAATGGCAACTTACACCAAGCAATAGGTCCCATCACAAAGTGACATAAATGTCAGATACTTCTGTACAGCTGGAGATGTCTGCTGCACATCATACAGCATTGAGACCAATTTAAATAGGATAGGTGCTCGAAGTGAACGCCACAGATGGGAGCGTACAAAACCTCAGAGATGAGCAGATAGTTCACCGGAACTCCAAATGTAAAGAAAGTATTGTTTATTGCAAAAATGTCACATGGGTCAAAATTGCCAACGTTTTGGGGCCACACAGGGTTCATTCCTTGAGGTGACACTGTATCCAAGGTGTCAGTGTGTTGCCTTGAGGAAGGGACCCTGTGTGGCCCTGAACATTGACAATGTTGACCTATGTGACATTTTTGTAATAGAAAATACTTTCTTTGCATTTGGAGTGCCGGTAACCTATCTTCACATCTCAGATACTTCTGTACAGGCATTGGAATACATAGCTGTGAAGCTCTTATGACACAATATATAGTATCAGTCTTATTTTAAAAAAATAGTTCAAGAAGTAAAGTGCTACAAATAGCAAGAAATCAGAATCCACCTTGTGCTGGTCTGGCACCAGTATATGGAATTTGAACTGGCTTGTAAGGAATACTGAACTTTGCATTACTTTTCCAATTAGGCTGATAATGTAATCTGCTTTAGATTAAAAGTGGCTGAGGAACCATACCTGATTTTAGTTACCGGGGACAATGCCACCAGTCTTAAAGATCAACTTTCTTTAAGGCGATGGTTAGGTGTATGTGATGTACCAATGTTGTAAATAAGCTATTTACAACATTGGTGTGAAGTCAAATACTGTGGGACAGGCTGTTGATTAATCTTCAATGTGTGGAATGAATGAAACCTGGACCAGAGTTGAGCTTTTGCCAAGAACAACAAAATTTAATTCCTTGAATAATTGTAAAGATGGCATCCGACTGGGTACAGACTAGGGATGCACCAATAATAGTATCTGTATGAGTGCTGAGTATTTGGGCGAGCTCTCATACTCGCCCAAATGCTCCCATGCCTAGCCTGATACTTCCGGTATCAGGAAGCCGGGCAGCGACACTTGTGATGAAGGAGCATGGAGTCGGCTTCCCAGCCAATCAGGAAGCTGGGCAGTGTCATTACACCCCCACGTCTTTCTGATTAGCCAGAAAGCCAGTTTTATGATCCCTCGTCACCTGATTACGAGGGAGCATGGAGCCAGCTTCCCGGCCAATCAGGAAGCCGGGCACCATGTAATGACGCATTGCCCGGGTTCCTGATAGGCCAGCTTCTTGACCAATCAGGAAGCCAGGCAACACGTCATTACAAGGTACCCGGCTTCCTGATTGGCCAGAAAGCTGGCTCCATGCTCCCTCGTCACCAGGTGATATATATCGGTACTCGTACTGCATACTGAAAAAAACAGTATTGGTGCATCCCTAGTACAGACCACAGCTTCATTTTTATAGGTCAACCCTTATAGACAGTCATGTATACCTTTAGTACTTTACAACTGTATATTACATTTTTAGATTTATTTCTGCTTGGTCCATATGCACAACCAAGTTGCTGACATTACAAGTAAAGTCAGTAGGAAACAACAAACTATTCAGTAATTTGATAGAAAAAAACAAGTGATTTGTAAAGTCCTTTAGATCGCATCTGCAGACCTCATCTATGAACATGCCTGATGAAAAAACTGTGTTGCCTCATAGTAGCTAATCAGGTTCAAACCTGCACTGCAAAAGGAGTTGAATGAAACAAGAACTAATGAAAGTCTGATGGTTGCTCTGGATGAACAAAGGAAGTTCTTAGTGCAATAAATAGGGTTCAGTAGATCTTAAGCAGGGGTGACATAACTCCAAGCCTTCCAGACTGAAAAACATATGAAAAGGGAACCTGTCTGAAGCATGTTTCACACGCAAAAAGAATCTGTCCCGTACAGAAAAAGGTTCCAATGTCTCTGAGAATGAGAATTCGATCTGTTCAAGTTCATACTGTATATACAGTGCGCTGTTATAACTTGTTTTGATCTTTTGTTGTTTCATCATCATCTATTAGGTCCTTGAATCCAAGTTTCTCCATGGGTTCCTTGGCCATTAGCTGCCTGTAAAAAGAAAGCATACTGTATTGTGAAAATTGCAGAATATATACAGTGTATTGATGTCATATGCAAGAAATAAAGAGACCCTGTCACTTTGCCCGTTCAGCCAACTTCCAGAACCATTTATACTCACCTTTGATGCGCTCCCCCACAGTTCCATCAGAGCCTTTGCAAAATGCTCAGTACTGCCCAGCATGTGCACATCTCCTACTATGTCCTGCCAGACCATCCACCATATGACACAGAGCTCCACAGGGTTAGGATTCGAGGAATGGAGTAATTGGGGAATGCAGGAAAGGGGACTATAAGAGGAGAGGGTTGGACTCTGAATGTCCAATGTGACAGGGTCTCATAAGCACATTTTGGCAGTATCAGGATAGCATGCGTAATACTATCAGTTATATTTATTACACAAGCTGCAAAGAAAAAGAAGTCCTCAAATGCATAACAGGGAAAAGTCAAATTAAAGTCCAGTCCTCCTGAAGACAGCAAGCTAGATTCTAGTAACTCATAGGAGAACTGCAGTCAAGACTTTTTCCTCCATTTTGGATAAAAGAGAAGGCAGAACCTTGGTCAAGTTTTTATTTCTGTGTCCTCATTAGGGGGACTAGTTTACATTGCCTGTCCTGATGACAACACAGGAAATGAAGGGAATCTCCCCGATGGGAACAAAACAATGCAGTCCAACAGAAGCTTTGAGTATTTCTTACTGTAGTAAAAAGTGTTTTTCGCTGTGTCACCGATAGAGGGATTCCTCTCATTTAATCAACCCACTGATGGAAGGCAGGTACCTGATGAAGGGCCACATTCTTCCATAACACATGATTCTACATCAGAAGCACAATGGCAAACAAACTGTCATCCCCACATGTTTAAGAATAGAACGCGGGGTGGTTCCCATTAGAATCAATGATAGCTCACAAGGACACATGTTTGATGCATGCATTAAATCACATACTGACATGCAATACAATGTGCATTGCTGGGAATAAAAATACATAGGTGTACCCCTCATTAAATGTCAAACATGAAAAGTCAGCTGATAAGACCCTGCATGTTTAGGGCCCCCATAAATACCAAAGAATGGCTAGGTAGTGTCTGTATGTTCAGCCACCATCTAGCATCCATGTTGCCTTTATATCACAAATCTTAATGCCCATATAGCTGAGGACTTTGACAGGCTTCAGTGGCTGACAGCACACCGCTTTTCATCACAGAACTAAGCAAATGCCTTCATATCAGCACAACAAAAATGCATACAATTGCATTGGTGGTACGATGATTTGAGGACCTTTGCTGACATGTCATCTGCCCCATGGTCACCTCCATTCAAAATACATATGAATGAAGGTTCAATGTTGTCAAAATCAACACAATGCTCAAAGTGAGTAGATGGAGTAAAAAAATACTCCATCGTCTTCCCACCATTATTTAAGCTCCTGTAGAGGAGAAACTGCATCATATATTTGGCCGAGCAAACCATTGCTTCAAACTCCCATGACATCTAACCTGGTCACCAAATTCCTTGGTATTTCCTCTTGATCTTGTAACCAGATAAAAACATCTCCAGACAAGGTAAGGACTGTATTCTTTATAGGGTTAAGGATGGGAAGGTTCTTGTATGAACTTGGTGTGTACAAACCTTTCCATTCTACACTCCAAATACTCCTTTGATTCTTCTCTGCACAGACTGCTCTGAAATGTGTTTTCCCGTAAGCACTTCATGAACTTCACTTTAAAAGGTTTACATTCACCTGTAGGAAAAAAAAAGTAGCAGTGATTAAAATAAATGACATATACTGTAAAAGTACATAAGAAAAAGTGGGTAAAACCACATCATTCAGTCTGCTGACTACCATAGAAATGTGCACCCAGTTTGTAAAGGAAGGAAGGGTTCGGTTAGGGTCACACCAGAGCTCTTTAGGTCTGTGATTTTTTTTTTTTGGTACATAGAAGTCACAGCTGGTAAATTCTCCTCCAAGCTAATAATTGCTGAATGCAGTATTTCTGCGAGAAGATGATCTTATCTGACAAGGCTGTAGAGACGGACTGCTGAGGGGAATCATTATAAAGCTGGCTATAGAGAATACATAATAGTATATGACAATATCACTGATTATTGATATTTTTATCCTTTCCGATCAGGAAGCCGGGAGGTGAGTTATGACCCGCCTCCTGGCTTTCAGATTGGCTAGGAAGCCGGCTTCCCTTGTGGCTAGGCAGACTGGCTTCCTGACTAATAAGGAAGCTAGACAGAACCTCATGGCTCGCTCCCCGGCTTCCTGATTGGTCACTAAGCCAAGCAGCCTCGGCAAGTGAAGCCGGTGTTCTTTCGCTAGAACACCAGCTTCACAGGCAATCAGGAAGGGTCATTATCCGCCTGACTTCCTGTGCTTGGTATCGACGGGTGCCGAAAAAATAAATAAATCGGTACTCGTACTTGATACCGAAAAAACTGTATCAGTGCATCCCTATTAAATACCACCGGAGTCAGTTTTCTTGGGCTTTACTAGAAGAATCACACAAATATAACTAAAAAAACTTTTCCCAAGCACTACATGCATGCAGTTTCGCACCGCCATCTTCCCTTCTGATGTCATCATGCGCCAGCTGTCCCTTCCTGGTTCAGGCAGCCACTTTCTTGATGATGCAAGCCATGTCTGGCCTCCTCTGGTCGCGGTGTGTGGTAGCCCATGCCTCCTGGGATATATGAGTGCATCTCCCAGAATGCACCACAAGCGGGGTAAACGGCATTCTCACCTAGGCAAGAATGGAGGTAGGGGGTGGGCTTTAGTGGAAATATTAAAAAGAGAAAATAAAAAAAGCTTTTTGGATTGCGGATGTGTGGGTGTTGTAGGGTTACAACTGTGAAAAATTAAACTTTGCCTCATGAAGAAAGTACTTTGGCCTACACCCTCCCAAGCCTCAGTACTGGTTATTTATTAAAAAGGGTGGCACACAGCTGAAGTCAGTACTTATAGTATGGACTACCTTGGCTTTTGGAGGGGGTCCCTGAAGACAACTGAACACATGTGCAGGTCACCTCATTCAATAACCCATAGCAACCATGCCATTGTGGGTTCCACCTAAGATAAGGCTGTGTTGTTGTACACAACAGAGTTAGTTCTATGTATTGGTTACTATTTGATGTATATGCCTTCTGGAAAATAAAGAATTAAAAAAAATTAGGGCTGCAACAACTAATCGATTATTGAAAAAGTTGTCAACGGTTTCAATAATCGATTAATCGTCTTCCGATTAGTTGGCCCTGTTCACGTCTCCACACACGCTGCACCTCCTCCCCACCTCACCGATGCCAGACCTGCATCCACACCTCCTCCCCGCCTCACGCTCATTGCCCGCCCACATCCACGATCGGGGAGAAGTAGTAAGATGGAGCAGGTGGGGGGGATGACAGCTACCAATAGACAGGCCCGATCTCAGAAGCAAGTTGCTGGAAGACTGCTCAGGTAAGCCTGCACTTTCCAACACATGGTGCTCTATAATGTATTGCTGGGATTTGTTGTATTCCTATATAGCTGGTGGTATTCTGCATTGCGCTGTATAATGTACTATTGCTGTGTTTTGTAGTCCTCTAAAGCCGGTGCCATTCTGCATTGATTGCTGTATAATTTTGCACTTTCCAGTCCTGTGATGGACTACAATCTCAATACAAAACTAGCAGTCCCATCACTGGAGCCATTTTTTCAAACTACATTTTTATTTAAATCCGATTAATCGAACTTAATAAAATCGGCTAACTAATCGATTTTGAAAATAATCATTAGCTGCAGCTCTAGAAAGAACATAGCAACCAATCAGAATCCACTTGTACCGGTCTGACTTTCCCACTGAAGGTATTCTGGCTTTTTACGTAGTGCTGGGACTTTAATGGCCAAATGATCACAAGATCTTTACCAGCAGTAGTATGTATACCCATGCCAGTCTTATCTTTGGCATTGTCTGAGAATAGGTACCCTTAGACGTCAGCTTGAGGGTTCGTTAGTAGACTAAAAACCTCACCATGTGAAAAGAGTAATTGTTGTGAACCTCGAAGCAGGAGCACAAAGCCCATCCTGAGCTGTAGTGCCATGGAGCAGTAGTAGCAATTGCTGTGACGTCAGCAGAGTGGATTCTAATTTATTCGTCGGGGGTGGGGGTCATTGCACAGAAACCCTATAATGACATGTATCTGATCTGCTGATGCCACAACACGGCAGGCACCGTCAATGGACCATAATGCACCACAACTGACAATATATGTGTAATTTGCCATAACCTTAAGTGGCTATGCAAATACAGATTTTCTCCTGGTCACAATTTGCATACCCAGATACCTGCCCCCACCGCCTTTGGCAATGCCATTCTTTGTGATTGGTTGCCAATACATTGGCATTACAAGGTGGGATGTGGAGATACAACTGTTCTCTACAACCAGGATAGAGATATAGTGTGGGGAATGGTGCAAATGAAGGCCTACTTTGTCATGTTTGTTTGTTTAAGACATATTGCATTTCCATAGAAACGCTTAAAAAGGTATCATATGACGATGAAAAATAAAAAAATTAAGAGTTACAGTACTGCCATCTCAAACTAAAATGAATACAAATATAACCAAACCACCAAATATTACTGCATCCACACTTATGAATTACATTGATAAGGAGCTATATATATGTTCCATATATTACCATACTGGGCCATAAACACCCAGCAGAGGACGTTGTTTTACAGATCTGCAATTACTTTTCGTCTCATTACCCTTCACAGAGCTCTATAGAACTGCCAGATGTTACTATTGAAATGAAAATATGACAGCTTGGCTCCAGCTAATCTCTGCCCCTGCTGCGCCCCGCTCACCAAAGTGATCCAGAGGAAAAGCTCCCTTTTCTGGAGGTCGAGGTTTGAAGTTCTTGGTCCCAAAGTTCATAGCAGTCGACATGTTTATGGACAGGTTCCCGATCCCGATCCGCTTCCTGTGTGCTGTTTCAGTAAAAACCTGAAGGACATGGGTGCCCACTTCCGGCAGGGCCGAGTCGGCTTCGTAGCACTTACTACGCATGCGTTCCCACTTCTGGCAAGGCCGAAGCAGTGTTTTAAAGCGTTCATTGCGCATGCGTGCCCATTTTGGGCAGTGCACGGCTTCGAAGAGCTCACTGCGCGTGCGTATGTCTTGGCTGCCAGGCTGAATGTGCTGAGCCGTTCTTGTTCATTGTGCAGTAGGAAGCAAACAGTTTTTTTTAAACAGTTAAAGTTAATTGGAATATCTCTATAGAGGTTACCAATGTGTACTTGTTTTTATTATAGTAATTACTCACAGTATGAAACAGCTATTACATGTTGAAGTAGGTTGAATACACCCTGCAAAAGAAGAAATAGAATATTCACCTTTCTAGCAGGTGGGGTGTCACGACTTCGTGGGGTGCTGTTGCTCTCTCATGCCTTAGGCCTCATTCACACTGACATGCATATAAAGGTTTTTCATCCTATCATTCAATCTGTGCATTTACCTGCGTTCAAGTGTGCTCGCTTGAGTTGCATTTAGTGAAAATAGAATTCTGTGCATTCAAGGTCCACATAGAAACTCTACTCCGTCCACACCATGGTGTTTTGCCACTCACAGCTAAGCCGCTCAAGACAAGGAATCCCATTCATTTCTATGGCCCCTATTCACACCAGAGTGTTTTATTGCACAAAGTTTCCCATTAAAGTCTATTGGTTCAAAAAGCGATGTAATCTGCCAAAACATGGCTCATGTACTTTTTCTGCCTGCGACAACTGTTTCAGGTGTGAACAGGGGCCATAGAAATTAATGGGATTCCTTGTCTTGAACGTTTTGTCACGCTTAGCTTTTAGCGTCAAAATGCCTAGCTTTGAAAAGGGTACAGGCACGTAAACCCCCATTAAAGCAAGTTCATCTACACACAGGAGAACCTGATCTGGGATCATAAAGTTTATACTTCACAGATAATTTATCCTACAGTTAATAACTTAAACACAGGAGAGCTAGTGTGAATGTTGTCTAACAGCCCCTATACAGTCCAGGCATTGGATTCAGCCAGGGACAGATGACTGGCACTGGACGCAATCTGTCTGCATTCAGGACTGACTGGACCTTAGGGGATTTGTGAATGTGGCCTTAGAGCAGGGGTAGCCCAACCTTGGACCTCCAGCTGTGGCGAAAGTACAACTCTCATCATGCATCTGCTGTTGGGAGCAGTGGCATCCTTAGCATTTTGCACCCGAGACAGTTGTGGTGGTTTTGGGGAGGAAGGTTGCACGCTGCCCTCTGCAGGTTCTGCAGATACACATCCACAGAGCCCAGCTCTTAGTAAACTGGGATGCTGATCGCCAGGAGTTGGGCAGAACAACAGCTAGAGCATCCCAAGTTGCTAAGAGCTGGGTGGGGAGATTTTGTATGGCCCTTACACATCTCCCTGCCTGTCTCTTAGCAACCTGTGGCTCTCAGGCCGGAAAGTGGGCTACAGGCACACTGCAAGAGATGCCATCTGTAGCAACAGCCTCTGGCTGCCTCATTAAAGCCACAGGGTCATACCTGTGGCGAGAGGGACAAAGTTTGGCTATCCCTGCCTTAAGGTGGCCATACACCTTACAACCATCACACGACTTTCGTTGTGCGATGGTTGTAAGGTGATTAAAACTTTGTACGACCTGCCCATCTTGGACAGGCAGATCGTACTTGCGATCATCACAAGCCCTCTCCGCTGAGGAGAGGGCTTACAGATGATTGCAATGTGGAGCGGGCCTCGCGGCTTTTTCACCTTGCGATCGCACTACCAACCCGCCGAAAATCGTCCGATTTTCGGCGGGTTTTCTAGCGTGCTCGTAATACGAAAATTGTGCAACCGTACAGTAAATGCGATCACGCGCTGCCCATACACCTTACGATTACCATACGATCGCGGGATTACCCGTGATTATCGTACGATAATCGTCAGGTGTGTCCCTACTAGCTGTAGTGGTTCCTCCCACCATCCTCTACGACCCTGGTTCTCAACTGGTGGGTCGTGACCCAAAAGTGGGTCACGACCCCATGTTCAGTGGGTCGCCACGTGACTTCCACTTTTCAAGGTGAAAAGCTCATCAGCCTCCCCCTAGCACAGCACTGTCAGTTCTTGCGCCAAACAGCCATTCAAAATATGCTGGCCGATGCAGAGTGTCAGCTTGAGGTGGGATGGACTGGGGCTATGGCCGTGAGGGAGCTACATCTATACTTACAGCTCCCTCACGTGTCCTGGACCAGAGTTATTTCACATTCTGGCTACCTACAGGGCACGCAAAGGGAGTTGTACAAGCAATGCACATATTGATGGAGCTCTGTCACAGTACAGCACCCCACACTGGACCCCAGGCTGAGGATCAACTCCTGTTCTCGTAATGTATGGAGACTGGGTGGATCTTTTGAATGGCACCCCAAACACACCTCCCACCCACAGTTCGATCGCCCGCACCGAAAAGTGCAATACCGCAATGCTGTGCGTTCCATTGCTGTGCAACTTGGGTCGCGACTAAATGACCAAGAACAAATGTGGGTCCCCAGGTTACACAGGTTGAGAACCACTGCTCTACGAGATCACTTGTATGCAGCCTGCATACAGGGAGGTGCATTGAGAAACCTGGCATTGGAGCAGCAGAGAGAGTAAATCCGGCCCTGCATACTGTATATGATGCAGCTTGTCACAAGCAATAACACATCAGCTCATAATGAAGTGTCACTTGAAGCTGCATGGTTTAAATTGTCATTGCTTTCAGTGCCCAATCTATGAGTCCATAAACTTTCTGAATTACACAGTATTTTACTCAAACCCCTGACTTTCAGCTGACATCTATATTGAAGTTAAAAGGTTACATTGCTTATATTACAATATGATTATATAAGTTGTGACTTTCACTTTTCACCACTAGATGGAGATCTAACCATAAGTAACTAAACAATGTCTTTAAATGTAGAATAGAATTTCAAAGAGTGTGTATTGAAGCTGAACACTGGGATAAGCAAATGTAGTACATTTTCAGTTATCCGGTATTCAACTAACCAGAACTCCCATCTAACCAGAAAACAAAAATCCCATGTACACTTACTGTTCTGCTGATCTACTGCATGTAATATTATGGAAATGATCAAGTGCCTATTTGTCTTAATTTGCTTTTGATTACTGCATTTCAATATTAATATGAAGTCAATACAGAGATTATGTTATGATATGGTATAGTATGAGGTATGGCATTAGTTAGACCTATTTTTATTTAAAAATTTACAAAATTTACAAAACATTACTGTCGGGTCTGTATCTGTACTCCCATTACCTTTTCCGTTTTACTGACATATAACTTATGTATATACAGTAAAAACAACTCTACAAAGGATACTATCCCACGGACGGCGCGGATAGTTCTACGTTTATCCAAAGAGAGTGAAGGAACGAGAACTACACGACAAATAGAAGAAGAATACACAAACACGAAAACAAGACATCCAGGGAAGGGAAAGACAACACCCAAGTCCCGGTCCACGAGAGCCACCCTCTTGCAGGCACCATCACCAGTATTTCACCCCTGGCTGCCCTGAGGATTCTCTGAGGAATCTCTGAACAAGTACCATGCTGCCAGGTAGCCACAAATTTGTTTTGGGTCTTACGGATTGATTAGGTCAGGTCCTCCATCAGCCGAATCTCCTCCACTCTCTTCACCCACATCTCCACCGAGGGCGGACGGGTCTGCCTCCACAGTGCTGGTATGCATGCCCGAGCCGCATTCACCAGATGGACCAGTAGCGACCGTCTGTAAGTTTTCCGCGATAGCGGTGTCAGGTGGAGGAGATACGCTGCAGGAGTAAACGGGAGGGTCACGCCCGTGATCTACTGAACACGGGTGGCAATCTGGGACCAGAATGTAGCAACCCCTGGGCATTCCCAAAAGACGTGCAGTAGGGAGCCCACCTCCTCCTCACATCGCCAACATGTCTCAGGTACCGCCGGGTACATAGCGTGTAGAGCCTTTGGGACTCTATACCATCGGGCCAACAGCTTGTATCCCGCCTCCTGGTATTTAGTTGACACGTAGGATTTGAGAGCAAAGTGCAACATACGATCCACGTGCTCGGGGCTAAACTCCACTCCAGTTAGACCTATTTTTAATAGTAACTCTCAAGCAACCAGAAACTACATTTATCTTTAATCTACCAATCCCCATAGATGCCGCAAAATGGGGTGCCATGTGTATTCTTACTTTGGGTCCCTTTTAGATGGGAGGTCCGGCCAGGTCTGCCTGTCAGTTTTTCAGGTGGATCTGATTGGGAACCCAATTTTAGTCTATGAGTAGCTGGATCTAAACGGATGTGTTTCCATTTACATCCTATTACCCCCGACTCCGGCAAGGTCCAGGAAACTAAACACAACAGAGTTCCATTTTAGCGGACCTGATCAGGACGGATTGGGGGTAATCTGATGTAAACAGATGCAAGACAGAGGAAAAGATTGGATGGACATGAATGTCACAGCGATAACATTCATTGCGCACTTTTCTGATCAGCAGGGGACCCATGCACGGATGCCCTGCTGATAAGAACTCACAGGCGCCCATGTGAAAGGGGCCTAAATGTTATTGTGCTTTCTGTAATGATGTGCATTGATCCAGTATGATCAATGCACTTCCTGTAATAAAGACTGGTTACTGCTGCTCTCTCCTTGTGCAGGGTGACTGGTCTTTTATCTGCCCCCTCCTGTAGTTTCCTGCAGGCAGCCTGTAGTGGGTGGGCCATGCTGGGTTCCTCCCACAGTTCTGCTTTCTGCACAGGATATGTGCAACATAATGATGATGTCACTGCTATAGTTACAAGGTAGTAACTGGATTTGCAAAGGTATTTGGTACATACAAAGTGGATTTATATCCTTTGTGGCTACTGGGGAAAATATTTACCTAAAGGTTTTTGTGCTTGGAGTTCAGCTTTAGGTTAAAA